AAAATTAATTAATCCAACTAAATCATACCAATTTAATTTAAATTAAATTAGTTTAAGTCTAATATAATAATAAATTAAATTGATTTAAAAATTTTATTAACCAACTAATTTAATTTAATCTGACTCTAAAAATATTAAAATTTAAATCAATCCACACTACAAACACCTTAATTCACTGCAAGAAAAGAGAAAAAGTGAAAAGTTAGTATTTTTTTCACTAAAAGACGGCAGAACCCTCAAATCACCCCTTGACAAATATGGATAGGGACGGATCCACCCTTCAAAAAAAAGCAGGGACAAATGACACCTCAAAAGTATCGATTTACCCAAATTGATCATTATCTAACAGATGATGTCATCACTGTTATGATCTCCGTTTAGCCCGTCCCAGCGTGTTCTTTTTTTACACACTGGATGCTGTTGTGTACTAATCCTGCATTTTTCACACACCTAAACCTCTTCTTTGCGTAATATAAATATTCTCCTCTCTCCCTCCCTTTCCCTATCTCCTCCTGCTTCTGACCCCCCTGCCGGCGACCCGTTGTTTTTGAGCGGAAGCCCTTGGGCTGCCGTGTTTTTGCTGTTTGAGTCGTCGGTCTCCCCGGCTGCTCAAGCATGGTGGAGCTTTATGCTCCCTACTCCGATGGCCTCCGCGGCCTGTCGATTTGTAGCCCCTCCGGTGGCTTTTTGTTTTTTCTATTCTCTGCGTGGGTTTTTTCTTTGTTTTGTTTGTTGCTGTTTGGTTTGCTTACAGATCCAGTGGTGGTCCCCTCCATCCGGCAGTTTCTATCTGTGGCCATGCACACGGGGGATCCCATATCTGGCAACCTCGCGACCCACCTGCTGCCTCCAGGGAGAGAGAGAGGAGAAACCAGAAATGAATTTTCCTCTTTTACCTCAATAATCAACAACCAAACAGAAAACAGATCATAACAAAATCACATAAAAACATTTTTTTTCTTTTGGTTTTCTTTTCACTTTTTTCGAGATTGGCACACAAAGTAACAAATAAATGGTGCTTTTCTTGACAACAAAAAGAAAAGCTTTCTTTTTTTGAACTCGATTTTTCTCGGGAAACAATCACAGAGAGAGAAATTAAGAGAGAAAAAGAAAAAGAAAAAGAAGACGCACAGTGGATTTAGTGAGAGTGGAAGCAGCGGAGACGAATTGAGAGTGAGAAGTATCGCCTCTGACGTGAAAACATCTAAAGAAATAGCCCATGATTCTCGATACAAATTTCTCGACAAATCTGGGAAACGATCTGCCGATGAAACCTAATTGGCGATTGAGCAATTGATATATCATCGATATACGAAATTTGATTTTAGGTTCAGAGCCGAAAATGGAGCCCTCAGAAGGAGCTTTAGTGTGGGAGTTTTAAGAGTAGATTTAACCTAATTGCAGAAATGAGAGAAAGCCTTGTGCTTTTGTGGTTTTGAAGAGAACCCTAACCCCCAATTCTGAAAACTCTGAACGAGGGCAAACAGGTTGGCCATCAAATATCGGTTAAAAATGGGATAAAGAGTGGGATCCACCAATCAATTTGTCAAACAAAGGACGTGCAAATAACACGGTGTGTAAAAAAAGCAAAATTGATCCACATCAACATCCAGCGTGTAAAAAAAGGACACGCTGGCACAGGCTAAACAGAGATCGTGACGGTGATGACATCATCTGTTAGATAATGATTGATTTTGGTAGATCGATACTTTTGGAGTGTCATTTGTCCCTACTTTTTTTTGAAGGGTGAATCCATCCCTACCCATATTTGTCAAGGGGTGATTTGAGGGTTTTACCCTGAAAGACAGCATTTTTAAACGTTGTATTAAAATGTTACACCGTTTCTTAAAACGCTGATGAGACGCCGTCTATACGGGCTGTCGCGCTTTGTA